GTACAAAAATAATATCCCAAACCAAATGGTTTTTATGTTTTAAATAGATATATTTAAGAAAAATGCATTAAAGCTCCAAAATATACACATTTAAAGGTGAAACATTTATTTTACCAATTTTAACAGAAAAATTTGTTTCTTCAGTTTTTTCTCCAACTGGTTACTTTCAGCTGATTGAATTCAGTTGAATGGAAACAAAGGTATGAAATGTGTTTGTATCTTTATTATTAGGTCAACTCATTATTTTTGTACATAGGTTTTGTTTTATCTAATGTGATTATTAATGAATAGCATATTATCTAAAAGGAAGAGCTAATGTTTTACTTACTTGTTTTGTTTTAGTTGGATCACCACTATAATGAATTCAAACTTCATGCAATTATGTCAGAGCATAAAAAAACAATCACAGCAATTTCTTGGTGTCCACATAACCCTGACCTGTTTGCAAGTGGCAGCACTGATAACTTAGTGATCATTTGGAATGTGGCAGAACAAAAAGTTGTTGCTAAACTTGACAACACCAAAGGTACCTTCATCACTGAAATTTGTGGGTTTTTTTTTAATAAAATATCTTTATTTCAACAATAACTATTATTTGTATCAGTTTAGATTTTAACTGTTTTATTTATTATTTTTATTTAATATGTATTACCTACATGTGGGTAGGTGCACCTGTGTCATGCAATGCACGCGGAGGTCAAAAGAGGGTGTTGGATTCCCCTAGAACTGGAGTTATGAAAGTTGTCAGCTGCCATGTGGGTACTGGGAATCAAATCTGGGTCCTCTGCAAGAGCAGCCATTGCTCTTAACTGCTGAGTTATCTCTCCAGCACATTGTTTTTAAACTTTCTAATAGAAACATGTAAGAAATACATCTCATCATCACACATGGGTTCAGAACTGAAAAAATGTCACGACATAACTATTCATACAACATATGATTAACTAAAAACATAGTAACAAATATTTTCCTTACTGTTTAGATTTAATGTAAAATTTCTTAAATAAACAAACAAAAGTTAGAAGTTTTTTAATTATGTAAGTAGCAGCACTTGTCTGTTCATTAGTATAGCCCAATCTTTGATATATAAAGGCAATATTACACATGTATATATTGTATTGTTGCACAGGTTTTGTAACTTTATGTATGATTTGGTAAAGATTAAAAAGCCTTAATTAAAAAAATAGGTCTCAGTGAATTTGAATAATAATAACCCTCTCTAGTTAGCATTGGGAATGTTTGTTTAATTTTATCCTGCAATGATTTTGATATCATT